TGCTGAACCTATGTTAAGCTATTTTACAGTGAGATTATTTGGTAAAATCTCAAAGGATTTTCCAGTATTTCTCTTTGTTTCCCTTCCTGATGTTTCAGCTGTCATAAGAGGCATCTGTATTTCTCAATTTACTAAACCTTGAAACAGACTTGAAAAAAAGCTTGGAACAATGCTCCCCTCCTCACAAGTTCAACCATCACATTTCCATTGCAGAAATATTTTTAGGAGCATGAACACACACATGCATATGACTGTGAAGAGAATAGAACCATACAGAGGTCTTCAACTTACTTTACTGCTAGCCAAGTGCAAAGATGTATTCAACTCCTTATCTTTCAATGTCAGGTCAGCCTTGGCAATGTTGACCAAAAAGTCTGAGGTATAGAACAGAAATCAACGAACAAAGCCAACGGGCAGACGAACATGTAAAAACAGAGGAAAAAAATTACTATTTCAACATATGTGTGCATAGGTGCTAATCAATTAAGCCTTTATGTGATGTAAGCTTTATGAACATGAAGTGAAAATAATCAATGAGAACAGACAAATCTCGAGCAGTTAATCAGCAAGCAAAGGTAGAGCAAATGGCTCATTTGCTTGCCCCAAACTGTCAAACATATATTCACCTAATTTATTTATAAACTTCTCCATTTCCAGGTCAGCAAGTTCTGCCTGAGTCACCTTCTAAGAACAACTGTGGATTCTGCTTTGAGAGACTAAGCGGATATAAAGAATTTACAGTGCAGCCCGTGCTGTTGAAGCTAGAGAAAAGCAAATTCTGTTAAGCCAATATGACTCTAATCTTTACGTCTATAGTATATAGTCTAGGTTGAACAAACAGCTGCTGATAGCTGCCACTGTAACAATAGAACTCCCTGTAATAGAGTGTGCAGTTTTACTGTTCCATAAAATCAAGGAAGTAAAGAGGAGAATAGAATTACTCCTCCGCTCATGCTCTTTATAGTGCGCTCTTAGAAGGAAATAAGACTCAAGTTTGTTATTGCAAGTGTTCACCAAGACTGCTGAGAAACAACGACTGAGAAGAAAAATAACTTTTTTACAGATGTAAAGGTAGCTTCTTACAGACGTCCACACAATTTTATTTTTCTTCCTTAGTTTTCACAGGAAAAAAAATGACTACCTATTTCGGATAGCAACTGCAGTACCACTCACCGTTCAAGATGAACGGAGGCAAGGATGTACTTACCTACAGCACCAACGTGACCGTTGTGAGCTGCCATCATGAGAGGAGTTTTCCCTGCGTGATCCACAGCATTCACTTGTGCACTGTGACTCAGGAGGAGCTGGAGGCACTCCACGTGATCCGCGAAGGCTGCTGCGTGAAGGGGCGTTCTGTGGAAGTAACATGACCACAGCTGTTGCTAAGGCATGACAGTATGTCCTGTTTACTTACCTTCCCAAGAAACTGAACGTGCAAGACATTTTAAATTATTTTTTTTTCCTATGAAACTTTGAGTTATCACCAAGGGAACGTTATAGTAGCAGCACCTGAAATAAGTTAAATAATATTTACAGTCTCTGTCCCGGTGCAATATAAACTTAAAAAAAAAGGGAAGCATAAGGCTGATATGATACTGTGGAGAATCTCATATTAGCAGCATATTTATTTTAGTGGAGCATACTGCATACTGAAAAGCAGTACAGTCCCTCATTCTTATTCATCTGATTTTATTTTTTTTAACAAGCGTAAGGTGGGAAGAACTATCAGAAAAGAACAGATCCATTATTCTAAAAAAAAACCCCAAACCTAAAGTATTTTAAGTTACAGTAAAAAATATTGCAGCAACAAACTACAATAACAGTATTACTATAAAAGGCAGAAGGAATTCTATCCACCTTGAAGGTTATCAGTTTGCACAAGACTGAGACACTCGAATTTGTTCGCTGTCTCCCTATGGCATTTTGGGTCTGAAGTGTGACTAATAGAGATGAAAGATAGTTGGTACACAACCCAGCTCATAGTGTTACTTCAGGGTTTGCTTATCAATAAGGGTGAAGTGGTCTTACCCTTATAGGACTAAGTAATCAACATTATTGAAGGTCTTGAACTTGTTTTAATAATAGAAACGACGAGTATTCAATTTTTAGAATTTCAGCAATTTTAATTAAATGTATATATACACACACACAGAGTGAGGAGATTATCAAATTAAGGATTTGGCTGAATGAATATCTCTTGCTGTATCAGTATTCTTTTGCTGCATAGATGTTTTGAGTTGTGTGCCCTCAGAATGCTAACATAACATTAAAGCTTTTAATGAAATACTTTTCTATGTACACACAGTATCACTCTATTTAGCAAAGATTAACTTGTTCAACTATTTAACAAACTGGTTCAGGAAAACAGCCTATAGTCATAACTGTTCTTAACAAAAAAAAAATACTATTTCTTTTGTATTTCTTTTCATATGTACTATGAAACAGAACACTTCCTAGTATTCTCGCTTCAAAAGACCCACCATTTAACTCTGTTGCAGTGTAAACTGCTGTGTGAAAGAGACAGTATGACAAGTCTCAGCTCAACTATATCAGATAAACATTAGTTCCAGAGGTTCAGAAAGAATTATGAAAAATACTAGATGGATTCATGAAGAAGAAATGCAATTTGTTTAAGAAACTATTACCTTCCTTTGTCATCTTTGCAATTGACAATGCTGGCATCAATGGCTCCGATGAGCAGCGATGCACAATTTTCGTGATCATTGATTCTGCCAAAGAAAAGACATTTTCAAAAAGGTAAAAAGTCTACATCTTTTCCCACTTTCCAATATTACTTTACTTCACTTCCCATTAATATTTCTTATTGGTTATTTATAAGTTATCCTAACATACGTTTGCCGTAATGCTTTCAGTCTCATTTCTGATTATTCATCATCTCTCCATTTAACCAAACTGCATCTGCCACTATGAATTTCAGTCTCTAAAGTAAAGCTGATCCTGCAATTCACTATGTGCAAAGGTAACTGAAAGTGCAGCACACACCTAGGATTAAAACCTTAATACCTTAAAATCATTTAGTCTAAATGTCAAACGCACCTGGATCTGGAAAGCACTCAGACATAGATACCTACATATAGAAAGCTTTATTCTGATGCTTTAGGTGCTGAAGCCCACATCTCTTCCAACTCACACATATAATGCTTTTCCTTGATGGATGAACTCAATTAATACTCTTGCTGGTTATTGTTAATCTGTCTCATTTCATTATGAAAATGAACAGTGTTTAGTAATAGTATTGGACATATAGTATAGCTAACACACATCTATGCTGGATTAGCAGCTGTTTCCATTTTAAATTTGCACGCATAAGTTGCACAGCTTTTTAATGGGTTTGAGAATTACGTACTCATTTAAAAGAATATAAAAATTGGAAAAAAAATTTCAAAGCCATCACTAGAAATTCAGATTTCGAGCACAGTAAAAGCAGTGCTTTATGTATGCTTTTATTTCTCTAATATATTGGGGGTCTTCTAATTTCAAAGTTTGATACATGATAAATTACTTTTCTACTTTCCAATGATGTTGACTGTAGAGGGGAAGCCTACACAATAGTAACTCCTATCATTACTTCTGGAAGACATTCATTCTTGTAATAGAACACAGAACGAATACAGTCATTCTAACTGTTGGCAGAAATTAAGAAGGTTTGTGTTTGTTTTTTCTGTGCTTAATTCCTTACTCTTCTGATGGCTTACATGTTTTAATAAGCATGTTAGGTCCCACAAACTAAAGTAATCTTGCATTTAAAAAAAAAATGCATTTCCAATTATGTTATGAAGAGTTAGGATTCTGCTCTATTAGAATCCTTCCCATAGGAAAACATACTGCTTTATTTAAATAAGGAATATGTATAAAATATATGCATGGAAGAAGATGAATAATTCATAACAGCCACCACCTTTTTGTTGTTCATACGTAACATGAGAACTTTGGACAGAGAATCTGCCTCTATAACCGATCAATCCCTTTGGCTAGGACCTGGGTAAGAAGTACCAAACCTTCAAGACAGAGACTATCACAGAAGGAAAAACGACCATGAAGAAAATCAGTCTGGAAAATGCTCCTCTGAGGATGCCTTGAAAAAAATATGGCCTGCACAGAACACCATTCTAGCATGACATACATAGATTATTGTTTCAAATCCTTCCTTCATTAAACGTTTTGTCCCTATTGCTAAAAAGAAATCATCTGAATTCTGACAAATTCTTAACTTTCAGCCATTCAAAGGAACCTCAAAAGCTCAGATTGGCCAAGGCACTATAGCCCAGGTCATGGCCTTAGAATGGAAGAGCTATGAAGTCCCAGCCTGTGTGAAGAAAAGGCATAGGTCTGTAGTTGTAAGCAAGGGTAAAGAAACTAGAAAGGGAGGAGAAATGCAGCTATTTAATTAGAAGTCAGAATTTAATCAAATAGCCTAAATGTATGAAGTTTATGCAAAAATACTCTATTCTGCCACTTTTTCAGCGGAAGTATATGCACAATTTTATGATCAGCTTTAAAATTATTTGTTCATGCAAATAATATTAAAAGAAAACAAAACAAAAAACTTTCTTCTCATACTGCTAACTGTCCCAGACATATCATAAAACATTTGTTACTGGAGATTTCTACTTACACAGCACAGTGCAATGGAGAGAAGCTATTACCATAGAATGTGCGGAAAAATTTTTGTTCCAATAGTACCTCTATGCAGTTTTCATGACCTAAAAGAGATCAGACATTTCACAGTGTTGCACAAAGCAAGTAATTAATTCATATTAGGCTTATACAGATTAGAATTTAACACTAAGGTCGAAGTTGAACACAATGTGTATATAAGCTCTTATGTGATAAAATTATAAACAGGTTTTTAGATTTTTTTTCATGGCAGCAGCAAGATAGATCCAAGCTAATATTGGTACTTACTGAAAAAAAGGAAAGGAAAAGAAAGTCTCTTTTTTATGTGATGTGATTATGTTGCCTTACACATCTCCAAAGATGATCTTAAATGATGGTATTAGGAGGCTTTATCCTTATATTAAGAGACAAGTTCAGATTGTCCTGTTTAGAATAATCGGTTCAGTTCAGAATATCCATCAATTCACATGGTCTCTTGCATCAATAAATAAGAAGGTGACACCTCAAAGGAGCATTCCTGGCCCCACAGAAATCAATTTCATCATTGGCATCAGTAAAACCAGAATTTCACCCTGGCCTCCTGTAACTGGGAGCAGATGAGCTGCAAAGCTACTGGGAGGTATTGCTGGAATTTCCCAGGCTGAAGATAGCAAATGCTAACTGCAGAGGGCAAGTAGAGGGGAGATAATCTGCCTCTTCATTTCAAGCTTCTCCAAGTGTTAGGCTGCTTTGTTATCATGTTTCCCTAAAACTGAGGCCACATTTGAACCTGGCAAAAGTCCCCAGGGAGAACCTTACCGTTGTAACAAGCCCAGTGCAGCGGTGTATAACCTTGATTATCTTTCAAACTGCAGTCTTCCTCTGAAAGTGCTATCTGCAGTAATTCACTCAGCCAAGTGGCGTGACCCCGAGCTGCTGCAAAGTGCAGAGGTGTTCTGCCTCTGGCGTCTTTACATAAAATAGATACTTCTTTCTCTAACAGCATCTGAACACACTCTTCATGCCCAGTCATAATCTGGTAACAAAGAAATGAGTAAAGAGGTTGACATAATACAGATCCTTGCCCAGGAAATATGGAATATGATTGATGCCTGCGAACATGAAACGGCCTGCATGGGATTCAGAAGGCAGAGATGAAAGCTCCTTTGCTCCCATGAGTACCTATGGTAACTGATACACTGAACTGTATTTGGTGCTGTCTTTCAAAGGCCTTGATTCCTAGCCTGTGGAAGAGACTCCACTAAGTGAGGCACAAAAGCAAGGAGGAGTTTAAGATTAAGGAAAGAGATGAACAAGGGGTGAGGTTCAGAAAACCTGAGTCTGGCTTCTCAAAACTATGTATGAGTGTGAGAGAAGAACTGAGGAAAAAAAGGATCAAGAATATCATCAGAAATAGGAAAAGCTGCTTTAACAGCTGGCCAGCTACTATCAGTGACCTCTGTATCACACAGAAGTTAGCTTTGTTATCTTGGGAATGTTCATGTATTGTTATCAATAGAGAACAGAATTTTTATGCCATAGCTTTTATTACATTCTTGCGCTGGACTCCTAAGCTGGCCTGCTCACTGCAGTTATCATAGAGTTCTGTATAAATATCACCTCTTCCATCAACTTCACATTGGGTAAGAAGCTTACTCCTAGAAAAGATTAGATCCACCTCGAGTTTCATTGCCCCTAGAAAAAACTTACGGTTTATTTATTTACACCGTCCTCCCCATGAAAAAATGAAAAAACCTGCTGGGCAGTTCTTTTAAAGAAATTATTTTCAGAATTCATAAGATGCTCAGTAATAAGAGTAATGATTGCTATTGTAGTCTGTCTACAGCCAAGAAAAAATGGTCTAATCAATATTTTAGCTAATTAATTAAAGCAAATGTGAAATAAAATCAAAAGGAAAGCATTACTGAGAGGAAATCTGTCCTGCATTTTACCTCATTGACTGTGCTTGGTCAGATTTCCAATCATTTACAGTATTCCCTACATTCAAAATCCCTGTATTTATAAGTGAGTTGTAGTCACAGCAAAACAAATAATTAAGAATCATAAAAATTAAGTCACCCCTCGATGTAAAGCTGTGCATCCCAGGAGATCAGCTGCATCTACAGATGCTTCTTTTTCAAGTAATAAAGAAACAGCGTCAATGTGCCCATATGCCACTGCAAGCATTAGTGGGGTTCTAGAAAAAAACAAAAACAAACCAGTCACAGCTATAAAATGACATGCTGCTTGCCACTGCTAACTTACAGGAATAGAGAAATCAGGAAGCCCTGCATTTCTCTCTGTTCCTACCCACAAACCTGTTTTTTTCACCATACTCATCTATGTAACACCCAAGTGAAGACCTCTTTTGTATAAAATAATTAAGATGTTTAACAACCAACTACCATCACTAAAATAGAAACAAACTCATTTGTAAGCCGTTTACAGAGCAACATCATTCAAAACAATCTGTTCTCTTAATAACCTACAATTATTGTCACTTCCAGTGACACATGATCTTTAGAATACCCAAGTGTTGTCAATGAATGTCCCTGCTAGTTACCAAGATGACGACCACCCAAAGCATTTCTTTTGCAAATGCCGTGCAATTGCTTAAAGGGGATGAAGAGACACAAGGAAGCTATTCAAGCCAAAATTTGGACTAACTTATCTTCCATTTTTTTCTAAAAAATATCTATTCTCGTTCTATTTTTAGATAAGACTAATACCATTTAAAATTATATGTAGTCAGATATATTCCAGCCACCCCAAATGAATTTTTTAAGCCATTCACTTTAAAAATATACTTTATTCTCCCTCTATAACTGCCATTTAATGACAAGTAAAATTTTTGTAGGAACATCTCAGATGCATGTGTCACCTCAAATAAACATTCTGTCCCACTGCACCAGCCTAATATACCAAGTAAACCCTGAAATAGCAATGTTTTAGAAAGAAAAAGACTCTCTATAGAAACATCGCAGGAGCTTGTTAGTTTTTATTGAATCTGGCCCTCAGCATCTATAAAGAATTGTTTAAAGTATGAAGCAGAGACTAAGATTAATGAATAATCCTTTCCACATGGCTTAGATCAACTGAATACGTACTTTGTAATCTCTGCCAAATTCTATAAGGAGAAATGCAGGAAATACAGTATTTCAAATAAATGCACTTTTTTGTGAGAAATCTGAGATGCTATTTGAATCACAGAGCTGAAAAAAAACTCATCACAAAGAAAACTTACTGTCCTTTGGCATCTGTCACGTCAGGGTTGTCTGCAACTTCTAGCAACAACCGTAAACAAGGTGTGTGGCCATTAATGACTATAAAGAAAAAAAAAGTATATTTAATTAAAATATATTTAATTTCAGATTTTTTTCCTTTGGAAAGCTTACGGATGAGAAATTTACTTATAAATAAGGAAAATTTTCCACAGGATAAGAAGTTAGTATTCCCCAAATTTTCATTTAACTTGTGCCGATGAAATGGTGAGCTGTTTCTTCCCTGACCTCAGTCAGATGAGGATTAGTTCTCTTACATACAGAAATCCCAAATGAGTAAAACAGAAATTGTGATTCTTCACTTCTGAGAAGATTTCTACTAAACCAGACAGCATTTCAAATTCCCTCAGACCCAGCAAGCAGACAAGGCTTTCTGCGATCAGATTTGGAACGCAGGAGGAAGCACGTCGGCAAGGCTCATTAACTTTGTGTGCGCTGTACAAAGCAAGTTCTTCAGTGCTGCTATGAAAAGAGAAGCACCTGCAAAGAATGACCAACGATACAAACGTCATATTCATAACAGCATGTAATACCAGAGACTATAATTCCCTTCGGGTTTTTCCATCTTTTCTACTTCTCAAAAATGGGGTTTGTTTTTAAAAACATAACCCATTGCTGTTGGAAAACAGCTCTGAGTTACTACGTTTTGCAGGGCCTGACGCTGGAAACCCATCTGTGTGTCAGCGGGCTTAAAGGCTTCAGCCTTTCATGGGATGAAGTATTTTCTTCTTTGAAAAACAATAAATCCTGTACTCAGTAGATATAGATTGTGTTCTTATTACAGCAAGTCATGCATTCACACTGCCCACACCCTGTGGGCTGAGGCAAAACCCTTGGACACCACCTATGTCACATCATTCTGGCAGAGAAACAAGCGCGCATCATCACATTTAAATCACTCATCCAAAAATAATCTCAGTTGCTCTACCCAGAAAAATAAAAGACATTTTTAGTTATTTACCACTAAGGAATGCCATATACATAACATGTAAACAGTTCTGCACTGCTGATGAGTCA